GGAAAAATTTCTATTTATGTTCAAAACTTAGGAATAGGTTGTGCCCTTCTATCTATAAAGATATGCAAGAACACGAACTTTGCTTTATTGAACCAAAGCAATAGTCTGTCTGGACAGAAATTCTGTCTGTGAAATTGGCTCCTAGCAGGTCCTTTCTGGAAAAGTGTAAACATGCCCTGCTAGGATCAGGCTTTCCTCTGCTGTAAACTCAGGGCACTAGGATGTCATTTGTCCCTAAAGGTCACAACTCTCTCCACCCTTACTCCACTGGCATGGCCGTCCTGGCTGTCCCTGCAACCCATGCTACACTCTTGCACCCCATACTTGCAACTATTTCCTTGTTAGGAAAAGGCACTCCCTATATCCTATGACTGTTTGAACATTCCCAGCACTTCAGAAAAGTGTTTGACTCACAAACGCCTCTATGACAGAGAAAAAAACCTTTGGAAATCTTTTTTACACAGGCCTAGCAGTGAGCAATAGTAATAGTAAGATGATGAGCTCATTTCACATAACCCTTAGAATAGTTATAAGAAGCAGGTAATGATTTTCTCCAGTACATTAAACAGGTGACTAGAAGATTGGCAATCCATTAGCAGAATAACACACACAATAGCTTTCTGTGGAAGAACATTTAATTTTTATCTTTCCTGCTTTGCAAATCAAAACTTTACAAAATGCTTTTCAAACTTCAATTCTCTCTTTTAAGTTCTCATTTCTGTAATCTCTACAGTGAGATAAATATTGGTCTACAAAGAAATATTCAAGTAGCTAAATTGGCAGAGGAGCAAAATTAAAAATTTGCTTCTTCCTTTAACTCCTGTATGCTCTGTGATGGGGCTATCCATCACAAGTGAGCTATCTCAGGACTGATCACAAGTCTGGCACAATGTAATTACTGAACCAAAAGCATTGTATTATATAGCATGAAATGAAATAGCAACTTTGCCTTCCACATTATGAACCCGTTGACTAATGATGGAGGGTTGCAATTAGAAAGTATGGAAGTAACAAGACGAGGTATTTCACAGTCTACTAATGTATAGAATAAAACTACTGATAGAGTGAAGCAGGGAAATTAAAACCAATAAAACTGGAACAGAAAATAACAATGGCATTCTTAATAATCTGTAAAAGGAGAGGATGGAAGTGTCCTCTAAAGCAGGTCAAGTTTACAAGGATTATACACAGTATCTGAAAAGGACTTATTCTGGCCTTCTGTCAGCAGATCTATTTTTTCTCCTAGCATGTTTTGTGATGGCTGAGAACTCTTGCATTCATTGGCATCATGTGACCTGGCATCAGGAGATTTTGCTTTAAGAGACTAGAGAGAAAAACCCAATGAGGTGTGGGCAAGTGCTCCCATTATCCAGAGCTCCCTCCCTGACTCCCATCTGATGCTGCCTGAGTGGCAAAAGGCTGATCACTGTGTCACTGCTAGGTTACCTGGGGCACCAAGCCAAGAGCACAAGTGGCATAGCTAGTGCTTTGGAAACCATGGGTTTGGTACAAATTGGCAACAAAAATCAAAAACCAAAACAAAAAAAAAAAAAAAAAGGAAAAGATGAAGTACTACAAGTTGCCCCAAGCCCATGCTAAAGGCGTTCTTCGTTCCTCATACTTCCTTGAAGTGTGCATCTTCAAATAAACTGATTATCTGGAAACAAAAAAACAGATGGGAATTTATTTTAAAAATGCAATATTTTTTCTCTTCTTCTGTCTTTTTTTTTTTTTAACTTGGATTAAAAGCTTTCCATAGTCCTAATAGCATCTACAAACATTCTGAGGCCCATTCAGATTTTCTGATGCAAAACAAACCCATTATCCTACAGAATAATCCAGCCTACTTATATTTCATCTTAATGTTAACTGCAAATTTCATTGGTGTCTGAGTGATGCAGGTATTCAGACTTGATAGTCATACAAAGAAAAGAAAATTAAAAAGAGAAAGAAAAGAGAAAAAAGGAAAAGAAAAAGGAAAAAGAGAAAAGAGAAAGAAAAAAGATGAATATTATTGCATGTGGTGACATTTTCTGACACAGTCTGGCTTAAATTCACTAATTAATTTCAGCAACAACAGAGAAACAGAGTCTTTCCTCCTCCCTCTTCTCCCACCTATCACTTCTGTCAAGGCTCCTGACTGACAGAGAGTAGGATTTTTGAGGGTATTTTTGTGTTTGTAAAATATCAGCCCTAGGTCTAACTCCATCTCCTTGGAGCACTCCATGCCTTTCTGCAGGGAGCTTTTGGGGGCGAATGAGCCAGAGAGGATACTCATCACTGATGCTCTTTTGTGGCAACTGCATGAACAGTCCTGTGAAAAGGTGAAGAAATATAAATTACAGACTTCTGTTCCCACTTGCAAGGCAGTTTTTAGAAACTCCTCCTCTCCTGGCTGATAATTCCCTGGCTAGTAAAAATACCTCGAGGTGATAAGGATACAAATGCTTATAAAATCCTAACCATCTCTTTTTTATCTTAATAAACAAATATTTTATACCTTTTGTACGTTGCAGCACCTCTGTGCACAATGAAAGTAGCTCAAAATGTCCTAGAAATAACATAAGACCACTGACTCAAGGAAAGGAAGTTGTCTTTGAATCCTAGTGTGCTTTGTTAGCTGTGTCCTGTTGGGACGCAGTTCATCCTGGGCTCTCCTTGGGGACTGCACTTACAGCCTTTACCCCATGAGCAATGTTGGTAGAACAGTAAGTTTATGTGTATGTCCTACCTTGGGTGACATTTACAGGGTCAAAATCTTGACCTTAGGCTTCAACGATCACAGGATCCTTAACCTCAGGATCACAGGTTGGTAAATCAAGCAATTAAAGTCTAAGGGATTGCAGATTAGTATTTAAATATATGACATTTTAATTCAAATTATCACAAAATGACTGCATTTTCATTTTGAAAAAAGCAAGCTATGAAATAGATGTATTAAAATCTGTAATTTTCTCTAAATTTTATATTGAAACTGTATTTTCAATGATTTATCTCAATACTTAATTTCATCATTCAGTATTTTCCAAGATGTTTTCTATAACTAAAAGATGCATCATTTCCCTAGGAGGCTGAACAGTTGTTAGGAAAAGTAATTGCTTAAATACAGCTCTATTAACATTTGGAAAAGTGTTCAACTTTCTGAAGCAATTAAGAATCCAGAGATGGTTCAGATTTATCTACCTATTTTTCCCTAAAACCTTTAATGCTCTTGGGGTACAATTCTGAAGACATTAAATGTAAAATACAAATCATTATCCTAATGGATAAATGGAGTAATTAATGAAGACAGAGGTGTTAGGATCAAGCAGCAGCTCAACTACCTGTCAAAACAGGAGCCAGAATCCACATCTGCTCCCTCCTGGCAAGACGTCTTCCAGATAAGATTGTAGGAATGTTCTCTCTCTCTTGGTTTGGTCCTTCTGGTCACTACCTCTTGCAGAGCTGGTAATGTTGTCCCTCATTACTACTCTGACCTTCTTTGTCAGTCAGAATAGTGATCTAGAAAGTTGGTCACCTCAGGGCACACAGTCATAAAATCCATGCTATCCCACTCTCTTGGTCAATGTTCTATGCACTAACTGTGAATTCTGCCTCTTTCATGCTTTAAAAGGAAAAGATTTTCTTCAAATCACAGAAAGTTACTTTAATATCAATTTGCATGATGCATACCAGGAAGCTGCCAATTTGTCCCTTTATTTTGGTGTAATGGATTTGTGATGTAATGTCTTGGTAGCAGGAGGGGCTATGGGGGTGTTTTCTGAGAGAAGCTGTCAGAAGTTGTCCACATGTCCAACAGGGCCAATCCCTGGGGGCTCCAAAATGGACCTGCCCCTGGCCATGGCCAAGTCCACCAGTGAAGGTGCTAGTGACACTGAGAAAATTTATTTAACAAGGGGAAAATGCACGGAAGCAAATGCAGACAGAGAAGAATGACAAAAAAGCCCCAGACACCAAGCTCAGTGCACAAGAAGGGGCAGGAGGTGCCAGAGGTGCTGGAGCTGAGGTTCTCCTGCAGCCCATGGTGCAGACCATGGCAAGGCAGCTGTGCTCCAGCAGCCCACGGGGGAGCACAGATGCACCTGCAGCCCGTGGAGGAGCCCACACTGGAGCATGTGGAGGAGGCTGAGACCCTGGGAGAAGCCTGCACTGGAGCAGGCTCCCAGTAGGACTGTGGAGAGAGGAGCTCACACTGGAGCAGGTTTGCTGGCAGGACTTGAGACTCCACAGGGGACCCACACTGGAGCAGCCTGTTCCTCAAGGACTGCACCCTGTAGGAACCACATCAGAACACTTCATTAAGAACTGCTGCTTGTTACAAAAATTCATGGAGGACTGTCTCCTATGGGAAGAACCCCATGCTGGAGCAGGGGACGTGTGAGGAGTCCTCCCCTTGAGGGAGGAGGGGAAGAGACAGCATGTGCTGGAGTGAGCGCAGTCCCCATTCCCCATCCTCCTGCACCCCTTGCAGGGAGAGGCAGAGAAAGTCAAGAGTGAAGTTAAGCCTGGGAAGAAGGGAATGCTGTGGGAAAGGTGGTTTTATTTCTCATTACGCTACTCCTAACTGATTGATAGCAAACAAATTTCCCCAAGTCAAGCCAGTTTTGCCCATGATTGTAATTGCTGAGTGATCTCTCCCTGTTCTTATCTCCACCCCTGAACCTTTTGTTAGATGTCTCTCCCCTGTCCAGCTAAAGAGTGATGAAGCAATATTGGTGTGCACCTGGCATCCCACTGAGGTCAGCCCACAACACTTAGGAAAAAAAAGCTCAGGGAAACTTTCTCCAGGGCATTTTTATCTAACTGGTTGGTATCTCCTTCCTTTTTCCTTTCTCAAATAAGTCCCAGGTGATTTAAGTCCAGCTCTGAGGTGCCTCATCTTTCTGACTGACTACACAGGGAATACAGGTACCAGCAACTTGGGTGTGCTGCAGCGTCCAGTACCAAGGCTTCTCTTCAGATGTAGCCTAGTTTCTCTGTGAAGAAAGCCTCAAGAGCCATTTTGGAGTGTAGTAGTCGAATTTATTTCCACTGTAGAAGCACGTTTGTTTCAGTAATAAAAAAATAATCTTTGCAGAATAAAAGTAAACCTGTAGTGGTATAAATATTATTTACTTGCACACAAATTCACCTAAGTCACTCAACATATGTTTAGACTTATTTTTCCCACAGTTCTACATTTCCAATGGAGTTAACAAGACAGTTACTTGCAGAAAGATGAGAGAGGTGAAGTCTGGCTCATTTGGGATTTAAACACATATGAAATAATAGAAAGTTTCCTTCCTTCCTTGGCGTTTTTTTTTTTTTTTTTGCTTTTTGTTATATGACTACATTGCCTATGAAAAATACTAACAGCCTTCAGCTGTTAGCCTTCAGCACTAACCATTTCTGTTTGTCTAATTAAAATATATTATACAGAGAGCCACAGAAGTGTCTTCTGGCTACCTTGGCGCTGGCCAGGCAGAACCAGCAATGAGTGTAGAAGCGTTCAAACTCAGAGGTTCTTGGGTTGTGCTCAGTCTCCATTTCTGAGATTCCTATCACCAGCTACTGCCTTCCAAGGACAAACAAGGTCTAGCAATTTCCTTCAGGGGGTCATCAGACTCACTAGACAGCATGCCTGAACAATCAGTAAATCCCTGTCCTATGCTAACACAGGTGCTCTACTCCATACAGCATTATTAATGGCCTAGTGAAACCAACAGGCCAGCTTATAGTATGTATGGCTGGTGTGTAACTTTGCCTAGTATGAATATGTCACAAAAAAAAAACCACCATAAAAACTCAAACCTATTTTCTGCACTCCCATTCAGTTCAAGCCATGGAACAACAGTCAACACAACTGCAATGAATTTAACTTGCACTTTAACTTCTAGATAACTCTTCAACTGTTTTTCCCAATTATGGGGATGGAGAAAAAAAGAGGGGGAGGGAATAAAATTTAATGAATCGCTCTCATAATGACTCTGTATTCCTGTGTTCTGCTGAAATTGTACTCCTTTACCATATAGACTATCGTCAGCACTATGTCCTTGCAGCAAACGATGATTTATTCTGATCCTTCCTTCCTGTTAGTACAGTGACAAAAAGTACAAGGTTCAGCATGGACTCTTCTCAAGGCCTCTATGAGGGGAGGACACCAAACTAATACTGCACAATACTGAAGACAAGAGAACGTAACACTAAGTTCTGATACATTGAAAAGCAACTTCACGCATAAGATCATTTATGTAGGCACACTGACATATTAAGCACCATTTTTTTTTTTTCAGTTTAACATCAACATTCAACTCTGAACAGAAGAATGCTAAGCCTCTAGGACAGTTTCAGTATCAAGGAAAGAACTACTTCTAATTCAGAAACATCAAAACACTAATGTTGACACCTTAGCTGAGATGTTCACTGCAAGTGACCCTCTCTCTGAATTCGAAGGCGCTCCTTCTCCACTTGCAAGCGCTCCTTCTCAATCTGCAGCTTTTCTGACTCAAACTTTAGGAACTGCAGCCTCTCTTTCTCTAATTGCAAACGTTCTTTTTCAAGTTTTAACTTTTCAGTTTCCAGATCCAGAGGCTGCATGATGGGTTTTTCTGTTTGGGTGAGGTCATTTTCCAGGGCAGGTTTTTCAGCATGCAGAGTCTCTAGCCTGAGTTTCTCCCACTCTAATTGAAGTCGCTCCTTCTCAATCTGAAGCCGCTCACGCTCCAAGTCAACGTGCCGCAACCGCTCCTTCTCAATCTGCAGGCGCTCCTTCTCCACTTGCAACCTTTCGGCTTCGATGTCCAGTCGCTGTTTCTCCAGCTCCACCTTTTGCTTCTCCAGATTTATAAGCAAGTGAGAATCTTCATAGGCTAGCCTAGCTTGAGCAGAGCTCAGATTTCCAAACTCTTCAATGTGGGGGAAGTCTGGTAGGTCATTTTCCTTTTTTGAATCTGGCAGAACTGATGACAATATTTCTTCTTCTTCCTCAATAGGAAACTGCAGAGAGGAATGCAACAGACAAGACTTACATTCCAGTCTTTAGGCCAGAACAAATTTGTTACATACAACTTGACTGAAAACAACATACTGCATTTTTTTCATCATCTTTAAAGCAATTCAGAAGTGTTTAATGTATATGTTGTGAAATAACCATGCTATGTCAGAAGATTTTTTTTTATCATTACACAGGAAGAGAAACAGGCTTTATCTGCAAGTTAATATCTGGTAATGAAAAAAAAGAAAATCTTGTCAGTACACATACAAAAACATCCAGAAAATACAGCAGAGTAGTTATTACAGATAATTTAGAACAACTGATAAAAAACTGGATCTAGAAGACCATATGTTGTTCTTACCTTTCATAGAGCTGAGTGACATTTATGTAAGCCACCAGGCATTTGTTGTGACTAATTATTTATCAGAGCAGATGGATCCATAGGGTATGTGTTATGTAAGCTAGCCTAACCTTCAATAACTCAGGCTATTCCATTCCTAAAAAACATTTAACACTGACATTTTTCACACGTTCCTAACTCTTCCAACTCTATTAAGTGGGTCAACAAGCAGGACTTGTTTAACCATTTTTTATTATCACATATGCTGTAAAGCTATTTGTGACATGATGAGGTGGTTAGGACCACTGCTCTCAGCAGACTGTAACATTTTATGTAGTATCACAGTCCTTACAAATTTATAGTACAAAAGAGATAAATTGTCTCCCAATATGTAAGCTGCAAGAGAAAGGCAAACTGAGGAAGGCAAGTGTTCAGAAAAACCTGAGGACTAGGAGAGCCACTGCCAGTTCCCTAGCATTAGAGAAGACACACACTGCTCTTCAGCACTGTCTGACAGCAGTTCTCACTACCATCTAACAGCTTACACTGGTTTGCTCCCAGTATATATATCAACGGAGTTAAGACAGGAGTTGCCTCCCTACTCCTTCCACTTAAAAAAAAAAGAAAAAAAAAAATAAATAAAAAAAAAAAAATAAAAATCTCCCCCCCCCAAAAAAACAGAAAGCAATAAAATACCCCACACAAAATTGTTTCAGTACTCCTTTTGGAAAAAAGAACTACATGTTTAAAGAGAACAGCAAAACTATCCCAACATTTGACTGCACTCCAGCTGGCTGCCTATCCCAGGACAGTCCCAGTACTACTAGGAGTATCAACTTGTCTATAGAATCCACTACTGCTTGCCAAATTCACAAGAAAATTCTGACAGAGAGAAAAGGCTGACTGACTAATTCAAGTAATGTTTTCATCTCCATTAGGTTCATTTCAAGAAATGCAAGCAGTACCATATTTCTTTCTGTATCATATTTCTTTCTGCAATCTATTCCTTTTTGTACCTGCAGGTAACATTTACTTTCATTTGTTAAAGATAAGCACTTCTCCGTTCACCTACCCAGGCACTCTGAATACTAAAAAGACCAGTTTCCTTCAACAGCGCATTTTCCTTGCATTGACTCAACTAATTCTTCTCTGTGTCACACACAAATGGAAAATACACGTACAAAGACATACTCAAAGTTCAGGGATATCAAATCAGTAATCAACATCTAAAACCTTACAGACAATTCCAAGTTGCTGGATTTGAATATCGTGTCTCGGAATTATATTTATTTATACAGTTTAATTCACACATTCAGAACTAAACAGAAACAGATGCTATGAAGCAACACAGTAAAAAGCCTTATGCTGAAATGAAGCAAAGGCCATATTGCATACAGCTCATGTATATCAGTCACTCACTTCAAAATTCTGTGGGTCTTCCTCTTCCTCTTCTACTTTGATTTCTGTTAAAGATCCACCAGCTTCTCTGAAGTCAGTGATATTTTGCCACTCAAAACTAGATTCAATTGCAAATCCCATTTTCTCATCCATGTCTTCATTGAGAGAGTCATCTAAATTGGATGAAGGAAGATGAAACCCAGCACCTACTACTTTGATGTTTGCATTCAGACGTTTTCTCTTCATGAGTGCTCTCCAGTCAAGGTATCGCCTTTTCACTTCTGTCCCTGTTCTCTGCTCTCCTTCACCTACAGCATTCACACACTCTGCTATTTCCTCCCAAGCTTTCCGTTTCATCTCATTAATTGTTGTATTAAGTTGCTTCGAAAAGAGTACTTCTCTCCTTTTTCTGATTTCCTTAAGGAGAGTTTGAGTTTCCTGAACACTAAAATTGCTTTTTCTTTTTCTTTTTAACTGTTTCATTTTTTCCAGACTTAACCTAGTAATTTCACCACAGCAGACTACAGAGATGATCTGACACTAATCAACTACTAATACAAATAAATTTAAAAGCAAATGAAAGCAGAGCTCTGTTCTCATGAAGTAAATTTTCTCTTCACTTTGTTGTATTTTTCTATTTGTCAGGCTTCCTAAGAGAAAAAGAGCAAACAAGATAAATCTCCAAGGTATACACCAGACATTTTCATTTAACAACTTGACTCCTAAGTCACCATTTAAGGAATGCATATTTTGAAATAACTGTTTATTTGATAAAGGAAAACCATTTTGTTAAACTTTCAAGTCAAAGTAGTCATAGATACTTCCTCTCATCTCCTATAAATTATAAAACAATGGATATATTAATATATCCATGTCACAAACTGTTAAAGTTGATTTGGTATTTCCATTACAGAAGTACAAATATTTTCCTTCAGCTTTTAAGAGTTTTGTCAGTTGGGATTTCCTTAAGATTGAAATTTGACACACACATTTCAGTTTGAATGCTCAACTATTTACAAAAGAAGTTGAAAGTGTTATATCACTACTTCAAAAACATGAAATGTTTAGGGGACTGAAATTTCTGAGACACATTTAAAATAAGACGCCATTTTCATTTATAAAAAAGTAAATTAATATGAAAAGTTGACATTTTTGAGGCTCTTTTAATTAAACATAATCATAAATAAAAGAACTGGAGCAATCCCTTTGAATGTCATAAAATAACTAGTTCAAACAAATGTCATTCATTAGAGACATTTTAACAGGAAATAGATTTAAGTCACGATATGCCCATGGTAAAACCCTCCACGTCCTTCTCAGGCTGCTGAACATCTCATGGCAGATACCATGGCAGCTTTACAGCTCATCCAGTGCCCTACCCTCAGCACAAGCTGGTCCCATGCCTGATGCTGAAGAGAACATGAATCTCCATAATTCACCTGACAGACTGTTTGCAACTCTGCAGAGAAGTGGAGAGTGAGGGGATTTTTAACACAGCAATGACTATTATTACTACATTAATAACAGATCATATTACCAAAAAAAACCCAAAACAACCCACCAAATCCTGGAAGCAAAGACAAAGAATCAAAAATGGTTCTTCATCACAGACTGCTTGGCAATTGGTTCAATTTAGGATTATTTTGAACAGTCTTTTGTACCATGTTACCTACCACTGCAGGCAGGTTTAAAAGGCTTTAAGTCAAGTGGGCCAGGGATTCACTGTACACTACAGGCAGCTTCAAGCTGCTGTTTGTTCACTGTTCATGCAGTAGAGACATTGGTTCACCTGAAGGGAAATGGCTTCCAGATTATAGATTCAATTGTTACTAACTAATGGACTTAATTCTTCAATAACTCTCCCCCAGCTATACAGGATTCTTAAATTACTAAGTATTTTTCCTCCTATTGTTCTCCCTAAACTTGGTTAAAGCATACACGTCAGCACACTGCACTACAACTCCCCACTTGGGGAACAAGGTCTAGTAGTTTAGACATTGTTCTTCATCTCTGATATACTTGAATAAGTGAATAAGTGGCTCACTTGCAGTTTTCCACATCTGTGTTTTCTTTCATAAACATAAATAGGATTCCAAATACAATTCTACATCAACAAGGAAAATGCTGACAGGTAAGCTTTCCCCTTAGCTCTGGAGAGGGCTGAGAGTTAAAGCATGCAAATGTCAAGCTACCCTCTGGGCCGGCTCAGTGCTCCTTGCACCAGCGCCCTGCTCATGAGTCAGGTGCTCAGGATCAACTGCCTCATCTCCCCAGCCACGCTTTGTTAAGTGTCTAATCTCAGTTTTGGATTTTATGCCATAAGCCAAGGACATAACCTTTAAGAATTGCAATACTAACTTGGAAACCATTGGCATCCAATTCCTTTACTAGGTGAAGTGTTCTTTTAGACTTTATTTAAAACTTTTGCTAGAACACATCTAATACAAGCCAAACTTTCCCAGTGAAATATCAGCAAAACCTATATATTTTCAAACTCATGACTATCAACTTCCAATTAGTAGGAACCTGCCTCTTTAACTTTTTCCTTTTTGAAAGCACATTGCTTTGTTAAGGACAATTCCTTTTTAATTAATATAAATGGAGTTAGTGAATGGTCTTAACAGTATATTTACTCCCAAAGATGGCTCTGTGTACCTATCTGATATGTTAATTAAAAAACATTATTATCTAACAAAAGCTGAGGTTTGGGATAGTCGGTTCTTAGCATTGCCAGATGGTCTCCAGGATATTACTCTTTAATGAGGAAAAATGAGCCATTACATACTCAAAGTACCTAAGAGACAGGAATGTAAATATGCTAGGATTTGTACACCTTCTAGATAGCCACAGGAAAAAAACCTAACATTCCAAACCTCAGCAGCTGGGACAGCATTAATGCTCATCTTAGTAGCTGGGACGACGCTGTGTTTTGGATTAGTGTGCCACTCATATTGACAACACACCAATGTGCTGGCTGTGCTTAAGCAGTGCTTACTTTAAACCAAGGACTTTTCAGTTTCCTGCGTTCTGCCAGTGAGGAGGTGCACGAGAAGCTGGGGAGAACTGCAGTGCAAAACGCATACTTTGACAGTTTGGGCAGAAACGTGAAATGCTGGCTAAAAAAACCCACAATTCTGATGACATCATAAATGTCTTCAAGGTCTTCCAGAAATGATGGCAACGTGGAGCTCTGATTTTGGGCCTGTCAGGTCAAAAGCAACCTGTCATCAAGAAGGGTGTCATCACTTCACAAAAGAAAAACACACTGTTGGGGTTGGAAAGAAACAAGTGTTGTGAAACTAAGCTGGACACTCGATAAACAGACAGAATATGCATACACTGAATACCTTTGGCATAGTTAAAGACAGAAGCATCCTCATTCTGCCTCTATCTTTTCTGTCTCCTTTGTTCACAATTTATTGTCTGACCACATGTTGGACAAAGAAAAAAAAAAAAAAAAAAAAGCAAATGCACCAAACAAACAAAGAATCCATGCATTCACCAGGAGTGGAAGACTGTTGTTAGCACCAAACTCGAATTTTATGAAAATCATTACTTTTTACAAAAGATGATGTCTTGATTTTATTGAAAAAAAACTTTTACGGCTTATACTTGAATAAAAAAAAAATTTAAAAAAATTAAATTACAAGGACCTACAATCTCTAAGTTTTCTTCAACAAATTTAGGGTCTTGAGTATCTTCCGCCTAAGGCTTTCTAGAAAACTTTTTTTGTGATTCCTAACAGATGGCTACATCGCCTTGGATCAATTTATGCTTTCATACAAAGGTTTTTAGTACAGGAGGGTCAGGGCGCTGCACAGCGTATCACCCAACACAGCCCTGCAAGAAGCCCGTGGTTTACACAGACGAAAAAGCAGGCACAGAAGGGAACCAACAACACCTAAAAGGATAACTCAACGAACCAGGGAGAAAGAGCGGAAGATGGGAAGCAGCTGGGGATTCAGGCAGTTGAAGGCACAGCCGCATGAGGCCGAAGCTGCCCTTGCCCATGCCAGCCACGGCCGGGCCGGGCAGCAGCAGGCCGGGTCCCAGCGCCTCCCGCGCAGGCAGCGCCAGACCGGGCACGGCCGCGGGTCGGGCTCAGCGCCGTCCCACCCGGGGCGCTGCACGGAAAGCAACAAGGCGGCAACAAAGGGAGGCGGGGGCACGGCCGGCTGCCCGGCCAGCACAGCCCGAGGCTCGCGGAGCAGATGGGCCCGTGGGGCCCGCTGCAAGCCAGGGCCTCGCCGGCCGGCGGGGCCCTGCGACTCCCCCGGGAGAAGAAATAGAAACGGGGGCTCCCCGTGGGGAGATAAGACGGTGGGCAATCGTCTCATCACCCCCAGGGGCCGAGGGCGGCGGAGCCCCACCGCTGTACCCCCGCGGGGGCGGCGGGGGCGGCCCCCACGCCACGGGGGGAGCGGCCGCCCCATCCCCGGGCCGGTGCCGCTGCCCGCCCCGCCCGGTCCCCGGGGGCCGCGCGCACGACTCACCTGCGCCCGGCGCTCCCCTCCGGGCCGCCGGCCCTTTAACGGTCACCGCCCGCCCATTGGGCGAGCTGCCTGCCTGTCACTCTTCTCCGCTCGCTTATTGGTGCTCGGTGTCCGCCGCTTCCCCCGCCCCGCCCTGCCGCGCCGGGCGGGCCGGAATCCCCATCGCTCCCCCGCCGGCGGGGCCGCGCCGCGCGCAGCCATTGGCTGTAGCCGCCGCTTGTCTTCCCCAGGCTTGTCGGTGATTGGCTGCGGGCTGTGGCGGCCCGCCCCCCTCAGCGAGGGACCCTCGGCGGGGTGGGTGTGGTGCTGCCTCTTCGCCGGAGGGCGCGGCGCGGGGTGGGGCCCGAGGCCTCTCGGCAGCGGTCTGCGAGGGAAGGAGGGAGGGATGGACGGAGAAGCAGGAGCAGCCGAAACGTGCGAGTTAACCGTGCGGGATAACCGCGCATAAGCCTCCGGTGTGGTCGCCAGGTTTATTTAGTTGCTGCCCAGAGCGAGCGCGCGGCAACCGGCTGTTCGTCCTCAACTTCGCTGTTTGTGATTAAAATGGAAAAATGACGTCTATCACATCCTGTAATTAAAGAAATAAAAGTAGTTTTCGGGAAGTGCTGCGGCACTGGGTGAATATACACACAAAAGGCTCTCCTGGAGCTTTCGGGGTTGGGCTCCTCTCCCACTCCGCCACACAAGATGTGTCTGGTCCTTGTCTCCTGTGTTACATCCAAGTTCTTTCACTGGACGGATGGATGTTTGATTAATACAGCCTTAAGGGATCATAACTGCGATGAAACTACAATTCTCCCTAAAATGGTATTTTCCGGTTCCAGCCAACTATTCATTTATCAGTTTGCTAGCAGCTAGATAGTTTTGCTGCCATACTTGTCCACTGTGTACTGAAAATCCAGTTAAAAAGGAGAACGGTGAGGAGTAGCGTAGGAAGACCGTGCCACACTGTTGACATTTATAATACTGGGATATTTCTTACTGAGACCCATACACGAACTTGGCTTCCCTTTACATTATTACCAGTATTTTAACTGGCAATTTTCTGCTCAGAAATCAAATTCAAGCACATCATAAAGGTCTTACAAGCTAGTTCAAACTAGATTCAGGTACAAATAGGTGGAGAAATGATGGAAAGGGGAGGTCATTAACTGTGTGATCCTCTGCTAGTCTACAAAAATACCTAGTCCTAATTATACCTCATTGAACATCCTTCTTTTATTATGAAGGACAAACCCACTAAATATGATTAGTATCTATTAGAATAATTTTAACTAGAAATCATATTATTTCTAGAGTAGCTGTGTACATAACCTAAATACCTCTACTTTCTCCCAGAATTATTACTCTACTTTTATGGAGGCTGTGGATCATTGGTGACAAATCCTGGTGTATACCAGCTTCCTCCAACAAAAATCCTTGGACCTCCTTCATTTATGTGAACTGTCTTGAATTTATGTGTAACGTATGTGTATTTTAATCATTAAACCCAGATTCTTTCTTCCTTGCTTTTGATGACAGGAAGAAAATCCCTACCATACGGTCTACTTCAGATGCAAACTGTTTTTAAGTCCATGGTGAATTCCCTGGATTTGTAGAACATACATATACAGTTTCTTTTTGATTGTGCACAGGGTTACACAACTTAAGCTCTCAGATTTGGTCTGTGAATCCCTTCATTGTTCAATATAAGCTTCTAACATTGTGAGTGCTGCTGGAATGCTTTGTACATGTCTCCAAAAGGCTTTTGCTAGCTGAAAGGCTTTTGGGGCAAAGGCCTTAGAGTGTTTGAAAGTTAATTTATATTGCCATAACTCTAATCTATAGAGGAATCTCGGGGTTACAGAATTTTGAATTTTGGAAGGATACAAGACAACGTTGGGCTCCGTCACTTTGTATTGATGCCATTTCTGCAAGCCTTGGCATGCAAATTTTGGACTGTGTAACTTTTATCTCCTTCTATATAAAGCTCCTTCTGCTAGTATGGAAGGTTCATTTCAGTAACAATAAACACCCAGTCATTTGCAGTACTTAAACTGCTAAAAAACCCCTGTATATCAATCTGATCTAATTTTTAAAATTGATACCAATTTAAATAAGTACCTCATAATGGTAAACTTAAGTACTTTTCAGCAGACAATTAAAATTAGCATGGGAACAGTAATTCAGTATGCAAAGGAAATACAAATACAAGGTCTGAGGATTATTATAAACCCCCCTCATCCATACTAACTGCATTCTTGGTTACAGCATTCAAAATGTTCTCCAATTGAAAAAAAAACCAACCAACAAACCCCAAAAGAGATTACCTGCATTAGAAACACTGTAGAGTCTGCAGTTTAAAACTCACTAGAAAAAAAAAAAAAAGAAAAAAAAAAGGAAAATAAAAGACCCTAGAAGGATTCAGTTGCTCAGTGCTTTATTTCACACAAGAATGAACATCTCAGCAAATGTGCAGTATCGTACTTTCCACGTATCAGCAGAGCCCAGGCAGCAGCGAAATGTTACTGTTCTCTATGCTTTACTGGGTGTTAGAAGGAAAAAAGTAAATTGAGCATAATGTTCAACTGTAAATATTGTCAAATACATCCCTGCTTTCAGTCTGTTTTAATTAAAATAGATCTTATGCTGCCTCCTGTTGGTCACCTACAAACAGAACATCTAAAATTTATCTCCACATTAGGAACTGCAGTCAGCACATTCTATAGCCTATACCTTACCTACTACCCTATATTAACCAGAGGAGGTAAACAGTTTTCTTCAGAGAGTAATACCATAAATAAATCTGACCCAGAAAATCTACTCCATTTTGTGAATATAACGAATTTTTAACAGCAGTAAACTGACTTACTACAAATGTATTTAGAATATAGAAAACAAATTAATTAGTCCTTAAATTATAGTCATCAGATCTGTGCAAACATAATCAATAAAACACCTGAATAACTGATATATATTATAACAACTAAACCAGTATGATAACATTACCAAAGTGCCATAATGTTTTGATAGCATTCTTTAAAAATTAAGATTATCCAATATAATCATCACTGGATATTAAAATACCACATACAATATATATTATCTTTGTGTATATTATACTGGTCATGCTTATAATGTATTCTGTGACATAAAATAGAATACTATTAGAAATGTTTTGGTTACATCATTTAAGTGCAAATAGTGGATTATAATTTTACATGCATTTTGTATGTTTAAACATCACTCTGTTTCAGTGAGAACATACATAATCGTTAATCTAGTTACCATTTTTAGAGGAAGGTCCTTTTTCATAAAGCTTTGATTCAAAGAGCTTTGAAAAGTCATAAAAGATATTAGAAAACTCACTTTGCGTTAACTTTGTGACTTTTTTTTAATTGCATAAATGCTCTGTAGACTGAAAAATATTTCATCCAGACTACAACAGTTACTCATGCAAGTAATTCAGATTTTTTTGTGTAGTTCACTGAGATTTCTTACATTATTAGCAATTAATCACAGGGTTTGGAACATAGGTCCCTTCTTCTATGATAAAGCCTTGTTTTTAAACATGACTTTCTAACACTTCTGCTTCTTCTGCATTCCATTCTGCTACCAGATTTAATACCTTGTATGTGGAAATGTGGCATATCCTTTTTCCTTCTGTGAGAGCTGTAGGACAGGTTTACGTGCCTACCTGTAGAAAATCAGTGCCATTTCACAGTAACTTTTCTGTAAGCAATGCTAGAAAGTAACTGACATTACTACATTATTTCCTGATCACTGAGTAAGAGCTCAACTCCCTGTGAAATCCATGAATGATTTGTCAAACTGGGAACTGACATTAGTTACTGCACAAGTATAGTGTAGAATATTAAAGAAGCATGTCTATTTTCCCAATTCAGCTTCAGTCAGTTTTCACTGTCTATAATTCCTCTGTACTGAGGAATTTCTCACATACATCATTGCTCTGTCTGATGTCAGATGCCAGAGTCTTATAGCTAGTGGCTGGGTGGAAGACTGCCAAAAAGATCTGTTGTAGGGAAAAACTTAGAGAAAAGAGTCACCTGAATGACTCCCTCGCTTGCTGTTTATGTGACCCAGCAATTAAAACACCCTTGCAATTCTCTAGTCTCTTCCAATTTGCATAGCTATTTTTACCCTTGTACTACGGGCATAATATGTTACTTTTCTCAATGCATAAATTGTCTACTCATATTACTCAGGTATAAACACAACACAAATACACAAGCAAAGGTGAATTGGGCCTTGTATTCCAATTATGTGACAAGTTGCAATAATTAATGGGGAATGAAGTCTCTATGCTACCTTGAGTAGCTTCATTAAAACTAAAACTACCATTTTCCTATGTGCTTGTTTTTTTCCTATTGTTTCAGTAGGTAGGAATAGTATTCTTCCTCTCTCTACTCAATACATTTGCTTTGCACGTTAGTGTAAAAGCAGTTGTGTCCCAATATAAAAATATTTGCATTTCTGCAAGGTGATTGTAAAGGTTACCTAGCTACATTTAATTAAAATATGATTTGGAGATTTATTTTGAAAAAAAAAAAAACCAAAATAAA